AGGTGGGTAAAATGAGGACCCAGATTGTTGTTGAGGGCAATATGTTGACTCTGTAAACCGCTTAGAGAGGGCTGAAAGCCCTATGAAGCGGTATATAAGTCTAACTGCTATTGCTATTGTTTCCTCATTGACTTTTCTTGTCAGAAAGTCACAAAAGGAGATCACATCATCCCGGGACACTACAACTGTCATAAATGTGAATCAGTTGCTAAGTGTCTGAATTTTGATCACATGACCAGGGGCTTGCAATAATGGTCGCAAATGTAAAAAAACCCAGCCATAACTCTCTCTTACAAGTGCCGTCGTAACTTTGAACACTCATGAAATGAATTGTTGCAAGTTGAAGACTACCTGTGTATGATCATGTATAAAGATATATATATAAGTTGATATCAAAAGCAATAGCAGTTTGACTTAATGATAAGCTTAGTAAACATTTATTTCACTGAAATTTACTGTTTACATAAACAATTCTCACGGAAGCTGTAAAGTGGACATAGGAAAGTTGAAAAGAAAGACAAAATATAAGTTAAGGCCCTTCTTTGTCAAGCATGCCCTGCCTCACAGCTCCCAGGAAGATGTCTGTGGAATGTCCAAAGTGAGGGAAGGAAAACATAAACACATCTCTGCTATCCATACACAGAGTTTCTGAACATGGAGGAAACACAGTCAACCAGCTGCTAATAGGCTGCACTTCCTTTATAATGAACTAATTTCCTTCCCCAACATCTAAATCACTCATTAATTGGTAGGAAATTCTACACCGGGGTGTCCAACTTTGGTAACTTTTAAGACCTGTGGACTTCAAGATAGTTACTGGTGCAGAATTGTGGGAACAGGCTTTGTACACCTGGCAGCAGTTATTCTAGGAAACCAGAGAGATAAGAGTCCTAGGCCTGTGGCTATAAAGCCAGATTGGTCTAGTGCAGGGGTCTGCAACCTTAAAGACTCAAAGAGCCATTGGGACCAGTTTCCCCACAGAAAACACCGGGAGTCACAAAACCTGAGTGGGAGTGGTCCACTTGATGTTACACACTCCCACCCAGTCACATGACCACCACCACCCCGGCCAGTCATTAGGTCAGAGAAACGGTTGTTAAAAAACACCCAGAACCAAAAACCCTTTTGACTCTCTCTCTCTCTCTCTCTCCTTTCTCTGCATCTCTCACTTCCTCTCTATCTTCTCCCTTTCTATATCTCTATATCTCCCCTCCTCTCTCTGTCTATCTCTCCCCCCCTCTCCATCTCTTCCCGCCCCTCTCCATCTCTTCCCCCCCCTCACCTGTCCCCCCTCTCTCTGTGTCTCTCTATATCTCTCGCTGACCGGCTGTGGTTGCGAGAGGAGAAGGAGGGTGAGGAGGGTCCTCCTCTGGGTGGTGAAAGTCCCCCACACAAGTTTTAAAGCCATGGCTAGGCACTGCGGGCTCGCCCCCCCCCCTTGCCATCGTCCCATCATCCCGGATCCCATTCTCACCCTGCCAGCCCTCGTGTTAGTAAAGCAGGTGTCAGTTGCGGCCGGGTTGGGCCAGTATCTTGGGGCAGAGAGCAGATTGTGTGTCTCCCCAAGTGACCAAGGCATGAGCAGCACCAACAAGGGTCGGAAGAAGATCTAGCAAGAGGGAGGCACTAGATAATCAGCCCCAGCCACTTCTCCATCCCCCTCTGCCGTTGCCCTTACCTTCTCAGGCCAGGCAAGGAGTGACTGGGAGTGGAGGGGCAGGGCCAGCCAGCAGTGGGATCACCTGACACGGAGCCACAGCAGAGGGCCCAATGAGCCTCATGCAGGTTGCAGACACCCAGTCTAGTGGTCAAAGCACCTGGCTAGAAAGCAGGAGGCTGTGAGTTCCTATTCTCCTTTCACATAGTGGTAGCATCTCTTCTCCACAGGGGTTCCACCACAAAACCGTGCTCGAATAAACCACGCTCGAATAAACCGTGTAGCTGACGTCATCAACAGGGCGACAACAGCGCGGAGACAGAAGCACGCTGTAAACGCTAAACCTAAAATTAACCCCTAAACCTAACCCCCCTAAACCTAATCCTAAACCTAACCCTAAACCTAACCCTTAACCTAACCCTAAACCTAATCCTAACCCTTAACCTAACCCTAAACCTAATCCTAACCCTTAACCTAACCCTAAACCTAATCCTAAACCTAACCCTAAACCTAACCCTTAACCTAACCCTAATCCTAACCCTTAACCTAACCCTAAACCTAACCCTAACCCTTAACCTAACCCTAACCCTTAACCTAACCCTAAAGCTAACCCTAAAGCTAACCCTAAACCTAACCCTTACCTTAAGTTGAATCGGCTTGCTTTCAAAGCGCTATTTAAAGTGCCCTTCTTTCTCCGCGCTGGCTGTTGTCGCCCCGTTGATGACATCAGCGACGCGGTTTAATCGGGCGCGGCTTAGTCGAGCGCGGTTTTGACGGGTCACGCTCCACAGGAGCACTGGCAGTATAACTATTTGATTTAGTGAGAAAAGCACCAGGCTAAAAACCAAGGGACTCCGAGTTCTAGTCCTGCTTTAGGCAAGAAAACTACCTGCGTCACTTTGAGCCAATCACTAGGTGACTGAGTTTTAGTCCCACTTTAAAGCCAGCTGGCTAGTCACTCTCTGTCAGCTCAACCCTCCTCACCGGGTTGTTGTTGTTGTTGTTGTTGTTGTTGGGAAAATAGGAGAAGGAAGGTCTGTCTATGTTCACCACCTTGAGTTATTTATAAAAATAATAAAGGTGGGTTACAAATAAATACAAATAAATAAAATATTCACAATACCCATCAAATCTCATGCGGTGAGTAGACCTAGCACTCATGGTGAAGCATCTATGGCTTTTATGACAGATCAAACCTGACCAGACTATCTTGGTTGGCACAGAGAAAAGCAATGTCTGAAACCCAACTCAGCAACCCTGCATTGTGATTTGTACAGGTGACCACACACCTAAGCCTGGTTTCTCATCGTCAGCAGACATGAAGTTCATCTCCGTCTGGAGCTCATCCATACTTGGATTTGTCACACCTGGAATGTCCGGAAGATTGCAAGGTGGTGTTTTGGCAACTGGAGAATTTCGGCACGCCATTAAGAATTTGCGGTCATAAATAATGCGGGTACCTATAAAAGAAAGATAGCTACAATTCACTGCTGTTCTCAGAGGGTTAAAGAACCAAATATTGCCCAGAAAGAAATTCCAGTTAACCTACCGTGTTATCAATACTGTACTTTTGTATATAATTTCTATTCAACTTTTAAACAAGAAGTTAAAACAAATGGAAATTAATGTAAAGAAGAAAAAAATAATCAATAAAAGTTGCAAGGAAAGTTGCATAAAAATAGAAAAGGAAGGAAAAAGGTATATGTGTGTGTGTGCTTGTGTGTGTTGTGATATTCTTCACAGCAGTTTTAAATAACATATATTTTAACCTCTTTCTAAAGTTATATCATATTGCTCTTTTTAAAAAAATATAATCTATTTTATTCAATCATCAAAACCATAAATAACAAGTTCACCCCCCTTTTTATATATATGAAAAGTCCATAAGAAAATTCCAGTCACCAATTATTGTAGATTATGTTTTTTCTCTAACCAAAGAAGTAAATTTATTAATTTTAGGAAAAATTTTCAACTTCACCATCCATTCCCGCATTAAGGGTAGTGTCAAATCTTTCCATATCCAAGTAGACTGTACTTTTAATATCCAACAACTTCTTTCCTTCCCCAATCAGGGTTGGATTTTGGCTTGTTTTCACAGCATAGCTGAGTTTTTCTTCTTTGCTGCTTAACAATAAAACCAGGCTGCTTTACATAAAAAAGCAGAAATTCCTGAGGAAAGTGAAGGGTAATGCACAGAAGCCAATACACCTGGAAAATAGATTGAGGTTCATCATAACCCATGGTCATAAAACCATGGCTTTCTACAACAATGAAAGCTGGCCAGTAAATCTGTCTCCATGACACGGTCTGAAGCACTGATGATTAATAGTAACTGAGAAGCAAGCAGCATAACATAATTGCTTATGTGCAGGCATATCTGATTTTCTGGACACTTTTACAAGGAGAAGTGCATATTAGCCTTGCTTTCCCTTTTTTGGCAAGAACAGAAGCAGAACAAGGGATGATAGGCAATCTTTGTAAGTTTGCAACATTTGAGGCTGCATAAAACCTGTGAACAGATCTGATTCTCCCGCTTATTTCAATGTCTATTCTATCACTAAAAATTGCTGGTTCTTTGGGTACCCAAAGAATCCTACATTGAACAGCCAAGAAGTAGATGTAGAAAGAGATAAAGAACCTAGACAGGAATATGGGAGTCAAGTCAAAAAGAAAAAAAAAGCACAGCAATTAAAGTACTGAAGTGGGCAAGAGATGACGGATAGATGATTTCTCTTTTTTGTTGTTGCTTTTATTTAATTTGATTTTCCTCTCTCCTTTCTTTTTTTTTTTTGTAGGTAGGTGACATAACTAGCAGTTAGGTAGGATAAAAAGAAAATGTTTTTTTAATAAAAGGTGACATGATTAAAAGTTAGAATAAGAGATAGAAATAAGAAAAAAGGGAAATATTAGTGCATAAACTTTTATATAATAAAATAAGAGCAATAATAGGATAAAACATGGAATAATTGAATAATGACTGCTAATTAATATAAATATGTATTACTATTAGAAATATATAAATTGGTTGAAAGTAATAACTATGACTAATGCTATTAGTTTTATTTGTATTAGAATGTATCGCACCCAGGTACCACACTGTTCAAGCATTGGTATGTTTGTAAAAAAAAAAAAAACTTTAAAAAAATTGCTGGTTCTTCTTTGGCTAGAGGAGTGCCCAAACTTGGCAACTTTAAGACTTGTGCCCTTCAATTTCCAGACTTCTGCAGCCAGAAGGTCTTAAAGTTGTCATGGCTGCACAACCCATTCTAGAGCAACTTGCTATCCAGCCTCCAAGAAAAAAGGAAGGCAGAGATGGTCCCACAACATTAGAGTCTCAATTGTCTTTCTTGTGTTGTCACCATTCCCAGATATTCTCTCCCACAAGAAAGGTCTCATGGGAGGCTATTAGAACAGGAGGGAAACAAAGTCCCTTTATTGCAATAGATAGGTTTATGGGTGACCACTAGAAGGAGCCTTGTACTTTTATTCTGCTTCTGAACAGACACACTATGTAAGACATTTGCAAGTCCTCTGGCTGGGCTGAGAAACTGACTCCTTCTAGTTTTGAAATATATATTCTACATTAGGCAATCAAGTCCTGAACAGCCACCAATCCTAGATCTTCATCCATGCATTAAGCAAGCTACACACTTTTTACATTTTTCAGCTGTAACTGAGCCACTTCAATAGAACCAAGAAAAAAGAAAAATATACAAGTCTTCCTTAAAAAAAAAGACTGTGCATTAAGAGCAGAGTAATCCTTACAGCTAATTTTGGCTATGTAGTCTTTTCGGTTTTGATATTTTTGTATGCTTGGTTAAGCTTCACTGCACCTGAAATACTACGTCTCTCTCTGCCTACTAACAACAAGACCAAGATTATTTGTCATTATGATAGACTTTTTCAGATAAATATCCAGTAATATTATTGCTCCTACTGAGTTCTAAACAAGATTCTTTCTGCCTTTGCAACTTTTGTCCAGTAAGATTGCAATGACAGAGAATTAGGAGGAAAATTTTTCAGAATTTGTATTCAACATTGAGCTGGCCAAGCAGCTTCCAAATATAGCTTTAAGTACAAATCTTTTAAAACCCAAGCCAAGAAAATACAAAGTTTTTTTTAAGGGTTTAACGTTAAACTCGACAACCCCAAACTTCAACCTCAAAACCACAGTGTGGGTACTTGCCTTATTTGTAAACTTTATTGTGGTCATTCACCAGTTCAAACACACACACACAAATTCTGAGATAGCAGGTAAAGACAGTAGGAAGACTTAATTCTAGCAGTGAGGAGGTAAAAATGTAGCATGTTTCACAAAGAGCAAAACAAAACATAGCCACATTTAGAGGACTCAAGCCACACTGTTTAATCTAGAAGGAAATTTGATGAGATGGAGCGTTATGTGGAGAGCAACTGGACATCTGGTAACAAGAACAATGCCAAAGCATGGGTTTAAATTTCAGCAGGCCTTAGATTTAATTAAATTCCAGCAATTAAAAAAAGGCAGGTGAAATTGTGGTCCTTCCAAGATTTTAGTATGCAAATATTTTTGCTACTGAATTGGGATTTTAAGGTATCTAGATATTATTAAAAATATGGGGATAATTATAACAACTGGTATCAAATTAACTCAGTTTGAATTTAATTCAAACTTTGTATGTATATTTACATACAAAGCAATGATATTTAGCTTTTGGCCAGAGCACACTTCCATTGAGAGCATAAAGCTTGTGGGATCTGTTTCTCAAAAGCTGGCTGCAAAAATTAGGAAAGCACACCGCATGAGAACCTGTGGCTCTTCTCTTGCCATGCCCACTGGCCAGGTTTAGGATTATGGGAGCTGTAGTCTAGCAGCATCCAATAATGAGCAATACAGCTCAGAGTCCTCACTTCTCCTCCTCAGGAGAGCCACACTTTTACATGTACATCAAGGAACACGTCAGCTTTTTTTTTTTCAGTACCTAAACTCTGCTGCCAAGAAGCCCTATTTCCCCTGGTGATATTTCGATCAAAGCTTTCAAACACGTTGTTTTTAAAAAGGCTTAAGTGAAAAAATGCATGACAAAAAACTAGTTTCCCCGTTTGGAGCGATTAGAACTAAATTGTTTTCCAGCCCTCTGAGGTTTGGTGCGTTTCCAGGGACAAGGTGGGTGGAGCAGGGAGGGATTCAACGGTTGGGAATCCACAGCGCAGGGCTCCACCCGACACTAAACAGCAATGAATCAAGATCTGTAGACAAGCGGGTTTTCACTGCTTCTGATGCCTGCCAGCTGCTGGAACGCCCGCAGAACAAAGTCCGTTTTCCTAGAAATGTTGTCACTGTACCAGTTATTTCAAGAACATTTCATAAGGGGTTCATTGGAGGTCTGTATCCCTGAGTTTATATTCAGACACATGCTCAGGGCTCCTGTTTGCTTAATGCCATAGCCAGGCAGGGTGAAGACAGAGGCTTTGAAATATTTTCAGTTGCTGGAGGGGAGACGGAGGCGTTGGATTGGATTGGATTTATTACATTTATATGCCGCACTTTTCCCCGAAGGGGACTCAGGGCGGCTCACAATTTAGTCAGGGAAGGGGGTACAGACAGGGGGATAAAAAGACGAACATAACAATACACAATTTAAAAGCACACAACAGCCATACCATTTGAGAAGGGGGGCAAAAGCTCTTTAGCCCCAGGCCTGTCGGAACAGCCAGGTTTTAAGGGCTTTGCGGAAGGCCTGGAGGGTGGTGAGGGTTCGAATCTCCATGGGGAGCTCGTTCCAGAGGGTCGGAGCAGCCACAGAGAAGGCTCTCCTCCGGGTAGTCGCCAGTCGGCATTGGCCGGCAGATGGAATTCGGAGGAGGCCTAATCTGTGGGATCTGATCAGTCTATTGGAGGTAATTGGCAGCAGGCGGTCTCTCAAGTACCCAGGTCCAATACCATGAAGGGCTTTATAAGTGACGACTAGCGCCTTGAAGCGTATCCGAAGACCAATAGGCAGCCAGTGCAGCTCGCGGAGGATAGGTGTCACTTAGATCGCTCGCGCGGCTGCATTCTGGACAAGCTGAAGTCTCCGAATGCTCTTTAAGGGCTGCCCCATGTAGAGCACGTTGCAGTAGTCCAGTCTAGAGGTCACAAGGGCACGAGTGACTGTTGTGAGGGCCTCCCGGTTCAGGAAGGGACGCAACTGGTGCACCAGGCGAACCTGGGCAAATGCCCCCCTGGTCACAGCCGACAAGTGGTGTTCGAGAGTCAGCTGTGGGTCCAGGAGGACTCCCAAATTGCGAACCCTGTCTGAGGGGCGTACTGTTTGACCCCCCCCAGCCTGAGAGATGGAAAACTTGGCCAATTAGTGGGAGGGAAACACACCAGCCACTCGGTCTTATCCGGATTGAGTGCAAGCTTGTTATCCCCCATCCAGACCCTAACAGCCTCAAGGCACTGGCACATCATGTCAACCGCTTCACTGAGGAGTTC